TTTATGGATCAGAGGTACTCGGCAGACAACTTCCTTTCACCTGATTTCGAGGTTTTTTCCAGTCTTTGCAATACCCCACTTTTAGATGATACTTCTTCATTCATCGACTGGTCTTTTGCTGCGAAAGAATGTCGTATTTCAGAATAAGAATATTCTCATAACAGGAGATTACTAGAATCATGTTATTTCAGTTGAGAAATTGTTGATTCACTCACAATGACTGTATTATGATGTCAATTGTAAGTTGGCATTACTGCCTACTATTTATATATGTTTTGTGTTCTATGTCCCATTAGGTCATATTGACGTTCTTGACATTATGACAGACGACATTGCGTGGTCTTATAAGGGACTAGGGGATATGAGGCATTGCCTTCTAGAACATGGATGTGACCACATATTTATAGTTAGTGCTAGTTGTAACATTCTGGAAGTTCAACAATATAATATAACATCTTGTAACTAGTTGTATTATTACCGATCCACAAGATATTATACATGGTGTCAGGTAAATACAAAGCTTGATAATTGTGGAAAAAACTTGATCAGAGGCGCTAGACGTAGCCAAACTTGCTGGAAACTAGAAACCACGAGAGAACAAGATGGAGAATTTGTTCAAGCCACCAGATCAACTCGTCCTAGACGGAAATATAGCTGAAAACTGGAGGAGATTCAGCCAGAGATTTGATTTATTCTTAATAGCAACAGAGTTATCTACAAAGCCTGAAGAAAAGAAAATCGCTGTTTTCTTGAGTCTAATTGGCGACGAAGCACTAGAGCTTTATAACACATTTTCTTTCAATCAAGGTGAAGAGAGGACACTGGAGTCTATAAAACTGAAGTATGATAACTACTGTTCGCCACAGAAGAATGTTATATTTGAGAGATTCAAATTTAATAGTGTTATACAGAAAGAAGGACAGCCTTTTGATAACTTCGTTACAGAATTGAGAAAAGCTGTGAAAACAACAGGTTATCCTGAAGCTGATGATATGATTAGAGACCGTATTGTCATGGGCATTTATGACAAAACCACACAGGAGCGTCTTTTAAGAGAGTGTAATCTGAGTCTAGACAAAGCCATAAACTTTTGTCGAGCCATAGAGGTCAGCGAAAGCCAATCACAAGCTTTGCAGAATGAGGCAGAAGTGCATGCTGTGAGGATGAGAAGTACAGCTAGTAGTGCAGAAACAAAAACCTGCAAGTACTGTGGGTACAAACACCGGTCAAAGAAGTGCCCTGCAACTAACAAAACATGTGCCAAGTGCCAAGGGAGAAATCATTTTGCAAGCATGTGCAAATCAGAAAAGCAGTTCACAGGAACAGAGAAGAGAGAAGATAAGAAAGACGACAAGAAAAAGAAGAGGAGTGTGCATGAAGTGGCACAATATAGAAAGGAAAAGGAAGATGGCAGTGAAAGCTCCAGTGAAAGTGAATATGAGTTTTATATAGATTCTATTCAAAAGAGTATAGGTTCCTTGAGAGGTCCTGAATTGAATATGTGGACAAAAAAGGTATTTATTAATGGTAAGCATATTGAATTCAAGCTTGACACAGGTGCTGAAGTCAATGTTTTGCCAGGAGATATCCTGAAAACTATAAATCCTGCTTGTAAGGTTCGTAAAACAGATGTATCCTTAATATCATATGGTAGCCCACAGTTCAAGCTTGAATCAATAGGGGAAGTAGAACTTCCTTGCGAAGTGGCAGATAGAAGTGCCTTGATTAATTTTGTAGTAGTAAATGCAAAAAATCAATTACCATTGTTAGGGTTAAAAGACTGTATCAACCTAAACTTGATTAACAGAGTTGACAGTGTGAAGCTAAAGTTTGAATCTCATGATGATGTTGTAAAAAAGTATCATAGAGCTTTCGAAGGTTTGGGAAGTTTTCCAAACAAACACCATATCACTTTAAAAGAAAATGTTACACCAAAAATTACTCCAATAAGGCGAGTGCCCCAAATTTTGCATGAAAGGCTTAGAGCTAAGTTAGAAGATATGGAATCACAAGGAATCATTAAGAAAGTAGACAAACCTACAGAATGGATCCATCCTTTAGTTATAGTGGAGAAATGTAATGGTGATCTCAGACTTTGCCTGGATCCAAAACATTTAAATAAGTCTATAAAACGTGAGCACTTCTTAATTCCTTCCTTAGATGAAATAACTGCTAAACTAAGCAATAAACAATTCTTCACTGTGCTTGACATGAAGGATGGTTATTGGCAAGTATGTTTAGATGATCCCAGTGCAGATCTATGCACCTTTGGTACTCCATTTGGAAGGTATCAGTTCACTAGACTAGCTTTTGGCATATGCTCTGCCCCCGAAGTATTTCAGAAAAAAAACTATGAAATATTTGGTGATCTAAAAGGGGTTGGGTTGTATTTTGATGATTTGATAATCACAGGTGAGACAGAGAATGAACATGATGAAAATTTAAGACTTGTATTGGATAGGGCTTTGAAGTATAATATAAAGTTCAACAAATCAAAAATGCAATTTAAACAAAGTAGTGTTAAATTTATGGGCCAGATATTTTCAAAAAAAGGAGTTGAAACAAATCAAAATTATGTTAATGCTATCTTGAATATGCCAAATCCTCAAAATAAAAAAGATTTATTACGCTTTTTAGGCATGGTGAAATACATTGGCAAATTTATTCCTAATTTATCAAAAATTACTGCGCCTTTAAGAAATCTAACTAGACTTGATGTAGAATGGCAGTGGAGTGATGAACATGAGTCAACTATTCATCAATTGAAAAATTTACTGACGAATGCACCTGTACTGTCATTTTTTGATCCAACAAAACCATCAGAAATAGAAACTGATAGTTCAAAAGATGGATTAGGTGCGTGTTTATTGCAAGAAGGTCACCCAGTGGCATTTGCATCACGAAGTTTGACTAAAACTGAAGAAAAATATGCCCAAATTGAAAAAGAGGCACTGGCGATTCTTTTTGCAGCTCAAAAATTTCATTATTTTATTTATGGACTAGATGTTAAAGTACATAGTGATCATAAACCTTTAGAAACTATTTTTAAAAAAGACATTCAAGCCATTTCACCTAGACTTCAACGCATTCGACTAAAACTATTATACTACAATTTAAATGTTACTTATAGACGAGGAAAATATATGTATATATCAGATACATTGTCCAGAGCATTCTTGACTAATGATCAGGGATTGAAATCGAATGCAGAAATTGAATATGCTGTGCATTCATTATGTAATTATTTGCCATTGTCTGAAAAAAGAAAAGAGCAGTTTAAACGTGAAACATTAAATGACACTAATTTAAAAATAGTGATTGAATTTGTAACAAATTCATGGCCACATAATAAAGCTAACATACCTGAAAATGTTAAAATTTATATTATATTGTAATGAATAATGTAGGAAATCATGTTAGACGAAACAGACACGATTTACGATTATCTAAGAATCCTCACAAAAGAGAGATCAATGAAAATAATCTTATTGTAAACGAAAATGATAATGCTACATGTAAAGCTGAGTCTATTCATGGTAATTACAGTCTTGAGTCATCACCCGGTAGAAATGATAGTTCTAGTTCATCCACACAGAATAGACTAAGCAATAGTTATGAGCAAAACTGTAATGTGCAACCTGCTGCTCCTGCTCAACCAACCAATAGTAACACTGTAGTGAGTACTAGATCAGGTCGACTTGTTAAAAAACCTGCAAGGCTCAATCTGTAAAGGGGAAAAGATGTATTATGATGTCAATTGTAAGTTGGCATTACTGCCTACTATTTATATATGTTTTGTGTTCTATGTCCCATTAGGTCATATTGACGTTCTTGACATTATGACAGACGACATTGCGTGGTCTTATAAGGGACTAGGGGATATGAGGCATTGCCTTCTAGAACATGGATGTGACCACATATTTATAGTTAGTGCTAGTTGTAACATTCTGGAAGTTCAACAATATAATATAACATCTTGTAACTAGTTGTATTATTACCGATCCACAAGATATTATACAATGACTACCGAAATTGGCATAGGTACCGTCTCACCAAGATAATTCAATATTGAACATTCACCAGCTCTCAAGAAGTTCAGCATCTGTCAGATACCTATGTTCCTACACATTAATTCACATATGTTCACACTCAATGCAACATTCAACACTTTCAAACCACGAAGCTTACTGCTGTTTCACCCTGTGTAGCCTGTCATAATGATGTGAGCATTGTGAATAAAGATTGTAGACTGAGGACTGAGTTTTGGGAACAGGATTACTTGATCTTGATTTCCAAGAGCATATCATTTCCATTTGAAGATATACCTATTCATAGTCTTGAATCAAGTAAAGACAGTATTGAATCAAGATAGTGGTTCTTCAATTCGGGGAATCATTAATATCATCAAGTTGAAAATATTATATTCCTCTCATTTGAAAAATTGTTATTCAAATTTTTGAATCAAAACGATATGGCATTGAATAGAACTATCAGAAGTCTTTGCAATCTGAGAAAACTGTGTAAATCATTCGGTGAAATGAGCATTCTTCAGTTTGATGAAATGCATACTCATATTTTTGGATCAAGCAGAAAATTCATTAAATTCCTTTCGCGAATTGGAAAATCGTTCTGATGGAGTTGGAGAAATCAATTCAGTAACTGAATGATTTCATCCTTTGTTCGAGCATATATTTCAATAATATGACCCTATCTTTTTGAATATACCAGATTTTTCGTCCCAAAAGAATATGCTCGATTCAGAGAAAATATACAATCGAATTGCCATCAGAATGGGTTTTCTTATTCGAAAAAAATGTTGTCTGTGTATATCGATCACATTTCCATTGTATAGCAAGAGGATTGCCTGAAATCAAAATTCAATTTTAAAGTTCGATATATTTTCGTCGTACTTCCATGAAAGAATAGACATTATGCGCATACAGATGAGGCAGTTTCACCAGTTTGCAATACCACTCCGTTTTCAAATACCACATAACCAAGTTTGAACGAGGCTGATCAGGGCATACACCATTAACCTATCGTTCGCAATATTTTTCGGTTAACTCAACATGTCAAATCGTGACAAATTACTTCACTCATAATTGACTTTTTTATTTTTTGTGAAATTTTTCATTGAGAATCATAATGAATATCGATTCAGATGAGCTGTACAAGTGGATTGATAGTCACACAATTACTCGTCAGAAAAAAAACTTGAATCGTGATTTTTCGGATGCTGTTCCTCTAGCAGAAATTCTCAAACAGCATTATCCTAAATTGGTCGATTTGCACAACTACAGTCCCATGAATTCTTTGGCTCAGAAACTGACGAACTGGGAGATACTTAATAAAAAAGTATTGAAGAAAATAAAGATCAATCTTACAAGAGATGAGAGGGAACAATTAGCAAAAGGAATACCAGGTGCTATCGAAAAAATACTTAGTGTCATAAAACTGAAGGTTGAGCTCATGGCTTCAGGAGATCACGAAAATAGCGGCAGTAGTAGAGTATATTATATTGAAAATGGATCCAATTTCTCATCACGAGAAGGTATTATTCCTATCAAGATAAAAAATGGTTCACAACTCGTTGATAGAAAAATGGTACCTAATACAATATTCGAGACTATGGAGAAAGATATTATAGAGAAAAGAGAGACAATCAAACTTCTGCAAGAAAAAGTTGATCATTTGGATAATCTTGTAGCAATAAAGGAAGAGAGGATAAAAGATCTAACACAGCAACTACAAGCGATAGTGAATAATAGTGGTGCAGGATCGACGTCTAATGTGCTGTCCCCAAAATCGAGGTTCTTCAATCGAATTTTCTAATTTGTTCAATAAACTCGATCAGGTATTATTCATCGTTTCTCCTATTATCCGGCTTGATGATCATAAGCAGTTCTTCAATCTATCAAATCAGGAATATTTATGATTGTTAGATCCTCGGAACTGATACGAATACAAATATGAACAAAAATTTCCATAATTATATTCAGAATGGGTGTTTTGGCAGGTGCCATTGTCTCATAGAGAACTAGGAGAAAAATGTAGATACCTAATCTGACACTACACTATCTTTCGGATCAACCTTCAGTTATAACTAGCAACGGTGATTGAGAAATCGTTGATATTGACGATATTGTTCTGAATCGATCATAATCCTCATACGGTTCATGAAACTCTACAGGGTATTTTTGACATTCTTGACAAAATAAAATAGGAGAATCAAGATGATGTGGAATAGTTTTTTCTTAATATCAGATCACAAGGTGTACAAAATTTGTTTCAGAATCAGTACTTTATTCTTGTTCCATACATGCTTCAACCAATTTCGTCGTATTTAGCCATCAATGAAGAATATTATCAAGTTCAGTGGCGTTCAAAGAATGACTTGAACCAATAATATCGACGAAAAATTATACCTAAGAAACAAGATAGACTGAATCATCTCCACAATGTTGTGAAAATGACTTAGTGTTTTTTGTTTTTGGGACGTATCCACTTCACTCTGGGGAAATATAGACTCCTACCATAGATTACACTGAGAGAATTTTCTGTTAGTAGTTGAAAGGATTGCATTATCACAGCAAAATATCCGCATTGAAGAGGCGCCAAAGCAGTTCATTCGCTAAAATGAATGAAATCATCTTGCTGAAAGATCTCTATTTGATGTGAATAGATTGCATTGTTTAGTACTTGCATGGGACAATATTTATCCTTATATGCTAACTTATCTGTATAAAATCGGTTGTTTGTTTTTGTTTTCTACTGAATTCGTGCTTATACAGGAAGTTTATTATATTACTCCTGGTAGATCATCGAATCATTACTGTGAAGTTCTGTATATTGTAACTAGTTGATATTTTCCTACCTCTGATAGATCCCCAAATAGCTACTTTGAGGTTCTTTGAATTATTCTAGGTAGATTTCCTAATTGTCATGAATAGATTGTCGTACAGCACTAGGAGGGTTGTGTGTATTGAAATACTGTATGTATACCGGGTGTTTCTCAAAAGTGGCTCTCCCCTATAACTTTTTTGTTTCTATGAATAAACAAATGAATTTCGGTGTGTGAATGAGGTTCATGAATATGCATTATTCGACGTATCCAATTAGTGTCTGTCACTTCCAGTTTGACCGTAAATGACCCATATTTTCTTATTTCAAATGGAACGCCCGGTATATTTTCACTTATTTCGATAGAGAATATCATTGTGAGTACAACTACACGCTTTTTGCTGCACCTGTTGATATTTAACATCCTGAAATCTCCATTTTTCAATTCAGTGTGATTATGATACTGGTTATTGGTTCAAAATATCAATTGTGTGGTATGGAGGTGTTCGTAACAAAATTTCCTCTTCAGATATGGTGATGAGCAGCCACCCTCGTTCTATTTGAAAAAATTCAGTTTACATCATACTTAATAAGGATATTGTAGATTTTGAATGGACCTGTGAAACAAATGAAAAGTGAAACTTCATCGAAACTTTTTTTCCTAGGCAACATGATTCAGAATAATATGTTTCAACTCATTCATGGCACTCTAGATTGGAAATTGAAAAATGAAAATTTCATGATCAGAAATGTCAGGAAGAAGCAGATTGGGTGTTATTATACTAACAATGTTATTCTTTATCGAAATGAGTGAAAATATACCGGGTGTCCCAATCAAAATGAAAAAAACGGTAATTTTTGGTCAAACCGGAAGTGACAGAGAACAATTGAATACGTCGATTAATGTATATTTATTCACAATACTCACACACCAAATTTCAATTGTTTATCTGTATAAACAAAAATGTTAAAGGGGTGAGCCACCTCTGCAAAACACCTGGTATACATACAGTATTTCAATACACACAACCCTCCTAGTGCTGTACGACAATCTATTCATGACAATTAGGAAATCGACCTCACAAAAAGATAAACTTCATCCAAAAAACCGACAGCCCTAGGCGAAATTACGAAGTCAAAAAAACCAACCTCAATCTAGACCGCTATAATGAGTAGGTAACTCAAATTAACTCATGAGGTGAAACGTGCATCCCGTTTGTCGTCGTTCAAGGTAATAAATGTCCCGACAGGAATTTGTGTGTAGGTGGTTATTTCTATACCGCATAATCATATCGCATGCGCTTCATAACAAGAACAAATAGATGATCAATTAGGAGTAAGTAGGTTTTATTCTCTCCAGGAACGTTTATAGGAAAGAAAATAATAATCCACCTATTCCAGAAAGACAACTTATTGAGTTCAACTATGTGCGTTTCAGCAAAGTCAACCTGTTCACGGTAGATGAAGGCCTATTCGCACCAAATGGAGAAATCTCATTGAAACCAGTCCTTTAAGGTGCATTTTTTTGAAAACAAATTGATATCATGCTAGTTCAGGAAAGAAGACTCAGCAAAATGATTTGTATCTGTACTTGTTCATAGTTTCGGACTGAATAATCATTTATCGGTCAAAGCATGGGATCCATTGAATACAATACAAATGGTTTCAGCACAGCACTTGATTTTGTCGATTTCTCTTAGTGTATCAATTCCTCTGGGATTTTGGGAATTCTCTCTCCTTGTCTCTTAGAATCAAAATATAAGTATTTTTTCAATATAGGTACTTGTATTTAGAAGAAATCTGATGATTTGCTCCAAAGTGTCGATGCTCTTGCAATGTCACCATTTACATTCTGATAGATAAGATAAGATGAATACAGGGTGTCCCTCCAGGAACTGCATCGATCAATATATTTAGATTTGAAAATTTGGTAGTTCACTATTGTTGATAAGTGCTAACCGGGTGAAATATTTTGAGAATTGTGGCACTTTCGGTTGTACCGGAAGTGGGACCCAACTTCGTTATTTCAAATGGAACACCTTGTATTTTATTGCATTCTTAGATTCTTACTGGAGAGCTGATTCCATCAATGCATCACACTTTGGGTCTATCAGGAATGATTACAGAGATATAGGGTGTTCAAAATCGAGATTTTTTAATTTTCAGATTTTTTTGTGTCGAAACCATTCATTATCGATCAAAACGGCTCCCTATCTCAACTTTTGATTTGCTATCTACTTGAATTTAATTGCAAAACATACAGGGTGCTTCAAGATTCAAAATTCTGATCACCCTGTATCTATATTTTACCTCTGCACTACTGAGGATGGCGAAATCTTTGTTGAATTCATAGATGAAAAACCCAAAGTCATCTCCACAACTTTCATTGAAATGATCAAAGATCATCAATGGTACATGTTTTGGGCTTATATGAGCCCATCATCAGCCGATGAAATAGTTCCAAGTTATGAAAGTGAAAAAAGTTGAAATTCAAATAACGTAGACAATAACAGAGCAAACAAAGGCAACTGCTTCATGATTGTTAATGTAAAATTGTGTTTTTATAAAAAAGTTTAAAATTTTTATATATGTTCTTATGAAATGGTCATTCGTGGGTCGGGTTTATATTTTATAAGGGCCCACGTACCCTTAAATCACCGAAAAGTGGCGATTACCCCAGAAAATATCAAACTAATGAAAGGTATGATGTGGCTTCGGAAATAACCAGTTGAAATACTCATTTAGTTTGTTCCAAATACCATTGTGGTACTAGCAGGAGATATACAGGGTGTCCGGAAATAAGACGCAAAAAATCAAGGGGGTGATTCTACATGATAAAATAGGAATTTCATTTCATAATATGTACGTTGGTCCGGAAATGCATAAAACTTTCAAAAAAGTTCGGTATTTTATGAATATCTCAAATGTCCTTCCACCGATTTTCTTGAAATTTGGCAATGATATTTCTTGTCATGAGAGGCTGATATAGCGATAATTCAATCGGAATCATGAAAGTCAGCGGCGTCCCACGGGGCAACATAGCGAATATTATTTTCAATAAAATGTGCGCCACTGATTTTTTTGAATTCTTTCTATTCATAACCTATTGACCAACTGAAAATACAACTTTTTGGTTACCTGTATTGTTCTGAAAATTTGCTTCAGTTCCATGGAAAAAAATTAATTCCAATTCATTGCATGAACTTGTGCCAAAAATTTCATTTAAAAACTGGGGTGAAAATAAATGCGTGATCAATGTCCATAGACATAGGATAAGTATGAAGATTTATTCTCTTCAAATATTTATTGATATATGTTTGACACACTCTACACTCTGTATATAGAAAAATATGTATTCTCGCTCCAGGGAAACGCAGTTTTCGATAATACAAAGTGTGTCAAACATGTAATATGAAATATTTGGAGAAAATGAATCTTCATTATTATTCTGCGTCTATGGACATGGATCACACATTTAATTTCACCCCTGTTTTTGAAGCTTTTTTTTGCACAAATTGATACAATGAATTGGTATTTATTTTTTTTCAAGGAAACGCAGCAAAATTGCAAAACAATTCAAGAGACCAAAATGTTGTATTCTCAGTTAATCATTAGGATATGACGATGTAGAATTCGAAAAAATCAGTCGCGCTCATTTTATTGACAATAATATTCGGTAGGGTGCCCCCGGGATGCCACTGGATTTCACAATTCCAATTCAATTATGGCTGAATCAGTTCCTCATGACAAAGAATATTATTGCCAAATTCAAAGGGAATCGGTGAAAGGATATTTGAGATATTCATAAATAACCGAAGTTCGACACACTGTATCTTGAAAACTATATGCATTTCCGGACCCGAGTATATATGAAATAAATCTCATGTTTTCTCATGCAGAATCACCCTCTCGATTTTTTGCGCATAATTTCTGGACACCCTGTATACAGGATGTTTCAAAAAAACCTAACCCTCTTGCTAGGGTAGGTAGAACATTTCAAAATAAGTTTGCTCAGTGAAAATATGTCGTAACTGCATCCGTTTTCATGATACAAGGTGATACATTTGTTAGTTGATTATACAAATGTTGATTGATTGATTAATAGCAGAATGATCAGTCAGGGTTTGAAGCCCAAAACACTGCAGCCTTTGGGCCTATTGTATTCCTGATCATGCTGTTGACTTAGGTGAACAGGTTCGCTACCTTGATGAGGTTTAGCAGCCTTTTCACCAGATCATTCTTTGAAAATGCCTCTTGAGAGTTTACTGCTCCCAGAAGGTTGTATCTTCAACGCGCTAGTGCTTCGCACTCCAGTATTACATGGGTGGCAGTTTCCTCCTCCTCATTGCATAGTCTGCATATGGGTTCGTCTGTATAGATGCCCATTTGATGCATATGTTTCCTCAAGGGGCAGTGACCGGTTATTAGTCCCGTCACTTGTTTGATCTGACTTCTG